CCCCCCCCCCCCCCCCCCCCCCCCAAAAAAAAAGTTTATAATTAGAGAAACCACTCTGATAATTAAATTGATCTGCACACAGAAACCAGTTAAACAACAAAAAACTGTTCAAGTTGATTTTTATTTGGGTCAATCAGTACGAGTAGATACAAACACTCCGTGCTCACCCAGCCAGCAGAGTGCAGCAGAACTTACTGGATCATTCACATGTGAACCATTACACATTACCACATGCAGACTGAAGAGCAACTTCCAGAAATTATAAACTATAATTAAGTTATTAGATAATCTATAAAAACATAAAACATTGATTAAAGGAGGCGAATTCTTGTTGGTTTGTAACAACATTACACAAAAAGGTAGCAGTCAGCTTCGCCCGTTTTACACACGAAGTTTTGATAAAGAAAAACTACATTTCTTCATGATCCTTCCTGCAGTTTACATCTTTGTTACTTTACCACCCCCTGCTGGAATTAACTGGAATCAATCATTTCAGATGGCTGCAGACGTTACAAAATAAAAAGTAACAAAAAACAATTGCTTAAAAAAATGGTAATGCAAACCCCAGAAATTATTATTATTTTTTCGTTGTTGTTTGTTTAGTTTTATTTTATTATCACAATTATGTTCAGCTCAGTTCTCTTGGGGCTTTTAAAAAAATCTCTTCTGGTCAAATGCGTATCTCTTTCCTACTGGAAGCTTCCGGAAAAGTACGCTGTTGCCTCTGCTCATGTTGCCCTGGAAGGAAGAGAGGGAGACGGTGAAACTGGCTGAGCAGATTACAACCAGAGCAGAAATTATACAAATCTGAATTACCAAGCCAGTACTTTGTGCTTGATTAAAACGGGACAAGGACACGGTGAAAATCATTAGCGTGTCAAGTCGCATCTATTTCTCTAAACTGAGGCTGTTTATCTATGGGCTATCTACAACAGGTAGGATAATAATTGTTAGTGTCCTTTCCACATAACACCTCAAAATAGCTGGAATAGCTCTTTAAATATGTTTTGTTGAGCTTTTACAGTGCCTGTGTCTGTAATGTTATTTGATAAATAATAAAGGAAACTGACAGCTCAGAGTTGTAATCAGATGCAATTTGTAGAAGATTCACACTTAATTTAACAAACTTTTTTTTTAACCATAAAAAACAAAACAAAAAAAACCCCTGAAAAGTTTATTTTGCCATGACGTGGCACGTTTAGTTTGGACTTACCTCTCTGCTTAGATGCCTCCAACAGTCCACCCAGGTTGGATATACAGCTGCATAAGGGGGCAGGCCTCCGGCGAGCCTGACGGGACAGGACCGTTACGAGTCGGTTCAATCTGACGAGCATTTTCACATCACTCAGTAAATATTCGACTCACCCGCAGTTATTGACAGCCATGAGGCTGGACACCAAAGCAAAAGGGTATGTGAGAATGCTGGCAAATAACTGGAAGGAAAGAGCAGAGGGGGGGTCAGACCTCAGTGTGCGGACGCTCCGGAGCGTTGCTCGTGTCTGACAGACTCACCCCCGTCACCGCCTGAGAGCAGCTCTTCAGTTCACCCGTGTGACTCATCTGCAGAGGAACAGGGACAGTGTTAACTCTGTGACCTCAGCATGGAGGCGGGGGGGACAGAAAAACATGAGTGATTGTGATGGATTCAGCCGAATAAAGGAAGTACACAACTCCTGCACCCCCACACGGCAGTAACAGACCAGAACACTGACGGGCTCCAAACTCACTTTAACCAGTGGAGCGTCAAACACTGACAACTATTCAATACACAGGAGTTACAGGAAATCTTTTCACGTAATTGTTTTTCTACACCTAGAGATTATTTCAAATGACTTTCATTCAAAGGGATTATATTTACCAGGTTTCAGATCATTCAGTCTTTTTTAATTTTCATATTTGATCATTAAGTACATTCACCACAGTACAGCTCTCAGTATGATTCTAAATATCAGCAAGCTTTTTATATCCAGCCACAGCACTTTATTTCTAAAATACTGTGTAGAACTGAATTTTAAAGTACAAACACCTGAAACAGACTCTCACAGACACATCAAGAGATTAAGGGAAATCATTTTAATCTGGGGCATACAAATATTCATAATTTAGTATTTTTAATTACAGTAGTCCCTCGCTAGTCTGCAGTTCGACTTTTGCGAACTTGTTCTTTCGTGGTTTTTCAACGATTGTCAACTTCAATATTACTCACGTGACTGGAATGGTACAGATAAAAAGTAAACAAAAAATAAAAACTTGGGACAGGTGCAGCTATTTTTGTAGTTTTATTTCAAGGAGCCTACACTGTAACACCAGTCAAAAGAACTACACTACCCAGAAGCCAACAGTGCTTCCAGCTGCTGCTTTCTGCCAAAATGGAGGGAAAGTTTTGCATCGCAAAGTCAGAAGTAACATCTATGTATTAAACTCACAGAACTGGCAGGAAAGTCACTAAGTATCCTGAAGCTTCCTGAAGCTCAATTATCCACGTGCACATCAACCTGTCCTGCTCACATTCAAAAATGAGAAAAATCCATTGCAGTGACGGAGAACTTTAATCTGCGATATATTATTGATGCAAGAGCAACTAAAAACGACACCAGTTGATTTCCTCGATTTCTGGCCCAACATGAAACAACATAATCTAGATGCCTAAACAAAGACGTGAGATTATTTTCAATATGAAGCTGTGACTTTGATCAACCACCAGATCGTTTTTGTAGATATGTTTAAAATTAAAAACACAAGCAGGTAGTTTTTAGGGTAAATAGGTCAAAGTAAAACCTCACTGAAAAAAACAACAAAAACCTTGAATCTGGACTGAACGGGAACAAAACGTGACGTACCGAGTCATCGATGACGTACGTGTTGATGCAGTGAGCCAGCAGATTACAAATCCACAAAGACAGGATGTCGCTCAGCAGCCGGGGGATCAAACCACTAAAACAAACAAAACATGTCGACTTACAGGGAAAATGAGCAGAATCAACTATTATACATGTTTTTATGTACGGTTCAGGGGAGGGGTGCACTGAGAAATCGGCCCCGATTTCCTTAATTCTGGGAAATCGGCCGATACTTGCATGAGAAACCGATTTTACAGATTTTTTTTGTTTTAACAACAGTTGTCTAAACTTTATTTATATTTCAGAGCACTGCCTCATGGTCAGTTAAAACAAGTTCGTAATGTTTCCAGGATATTGTTCAAGGGTGTGTTTGTCAATAAAATAAGATTGGAAAATCGAACACGCATTGTGACCTTATAACACCCGACAGTGCCGCTTATAAAACAAAATCTGTGATTGGCCAGAAAACTGCAATCAGTGCACCCCTACCTTTCACTGCTCCTTTCACATTCTGATCTGCTTCAGCTTCTTTCAGCTTCCTTGTGCAATTTTTTTTTAATTCAGCTATTTTCAGCAAATTTCAAGTGTTTTGTGCTCCTTTCAGATTCTTTCTGCTAACTGCAACATTTCTGTGCTGCTTCTTCTTCTTTCTGCTAATTTCAGCTAGTTATGCTCCTTTCAGCTTATTTCTGCAAGTTTCAGCTACTATTTAGCAGTTTTAATGCCAATATAAACTTTTGCAGCTAATTCCACATTTTGCACAAATTTGAACTTTTTTCAGCTTAATTCGGCAAAATATGCTCTCTCCACTTCTGTCTTGTAATTTCAGCTTTTTTCAGCCTTTTCAGCTGTTTTTCACTAATTTCAGATTTTTCAAGATAATTTTCTTTTTTTTTTTTGCCAATTTCTGCTTCATTTGACACTAATTGAGCAAATGTGTTCTTTTTCCTCTTTCTGCTAATTTAAGCTTGTTCTATCTTTTCAGCTACATTTCAGCATGTTTTTAGCTATGTTGTTTTAGCTATTTTTGCTGTTCAGGACAAATCTAAGTTTTTTGTGGTAATTTCTACAACTTTCAACCTGGTTATCTTATTTCTACTAATTTCAGCTTGTTATGCTCCTTTTAGCTTTTTTCTGCTCCTTTCAGATTTTTCTGCTATTTCAGTTACTACTTAGCTTTTTTTGCTCATTTTAGTTTTTTCAGTTAATTCTGCATTTTTTTTAGCTAATTTCAGCACTTTCCACTTCTTGTCTTCTTCTTGTCTGTATAAGCTTCATTCTGCTTTTTCAGCTACTTTTCAGCTATTTCTTGCTAAATTCAGCCCTGTTTTAATATATAGCTAATTTAGTCTTTTTGTGCTCATTTCTGTTCATTTAAACCCAGCTCAGCAAAAACATGTCCTTTCTGCTTTCTTTAGTTAATTTAGGCTTGTACTTCAATTTCAGCTACATTTCAGCACATTTTTAGTCATGTTATTTTAGCCATTTTTCAGCAAGTTCTTGAGCAATAAGCATTCACACTACATTTTCTCAGGAAATGCATTTTTTCTAGTTCAAATTAAATTTCTGAACAATTTCACTCATTAGGTCACATTAAACCAACGTTCGCCCTCAGCGACAGCAGAAATGTTTAGTTGTTCAAAGAAACATTTTCCACCCAGTTAAAAAAGGAGCGGCTAAACTGCTGAGGTTTGGTGTTTGCTTAGCTCTGCGTGTCAGAACGCTGTGAAACAAACGAGGAAGCAGAGGTGAACCTGTGAGCAGGATAATGATCCAAAACAAATCTGCAAAACGAGCAAACATTTGAACAGAAGGAAAAGGGGCGGAGCCAAGTCAAAACTGAATTGTTACTTCCATCAACATGTTGACTTAAAGACCGGGTGAGAAGTAAAGCCATTAAACATCTTTCAGCCTTTCAAGCTTTTATGAAGGAAGACAAAACTAATGTTTCACTGAGGCGAGTGCCAAAAATGTAAAACTTACGCAAAGAAGCCCAAAATGCCCTCTTCTCTGTAGACTGTGACGAAGGAAGTAAACACCCCGCTGAGAACAAAAATAAAGAGTCAAAACATCGAACGGTTTTTAATCATTTTAAATCCAAAACTAAAGTGAAAACCTTACCAATATTTTGTTTCCCTCCCAATAAACTGGACCATACATCGCAAAGTAATCACTAGAAGAAAAGTGTGGGGAAATCAAATTTAAACGCAGACCAGATCCGAGCAAAAAATATGAATGTACTGAAGGTAGAGAAAAAAGTGAGCAGGAAGTGAAGTCATACAGTGAAACGGATATGTGATGATGGTGGCACAGGAGCGAGCAATCATCTCTTTGGTCGTCTGTGGAAAACACACACACACGTCAGATACTGGAGAGCAGAATTATTTCATTCACACAAACTGAATCCAGTTTCAAACAAACAATGTGATCTTTGAACAGCTCAACGTTATGAACGCTACACATTCAGTCTGACCAGTTTATTGTTCTCACTTTTTCTAAAGAACTCGAGGGTTTTAGAAACTGCAACAAAGATCTACAGTCTGTCATTTTATTTGCTTTCACTTAGAAAGATGATGGTAAGATGCTTGTGCGTGCCAGTAAGCTCACAAGAACAAAAAAAACATTTACTGAAAACTGAGCATTAAAAAAAATTAAAGACAAAAAGAAGTGTTCAAACAAAGTTTTGAAAAATCAATGAGCAGATTTATTGGCAGCACGTGAATACTGGGTATTAAAGGGATGTCTAAAGGATTATTGTGTCAAAGCACAATCTGTTTGTTTTTATATAAATCAGTAAAATATTGTGAAAGGGTTCAGAAGTTGTATGAAAATCCATGGTACAAAACAAGTTGTGGGTAAGGCTCACTAACCAATGAAGTAGGTCAGTTAAAAAAAATTCCTTCTAGATTTAGTTTAGCTAAATTAAAATGAACTAAAATTAGATTTAAGCTTTGGCTGCATTTCTGTAAAGTTTAATAGTTTAACTACTGTAAAACCACACATTTTTGAAGCGCGTGCACTACAGCCCGATCGATTTATCAGTAGGGTCGATGTTTTAGGCTGATACAACATAGATGTTTGTGGACCCATTGGTACCGGTGATGACCGTCATATTATGCGCCGATATAAACACTTATAAATTTCACCCCTAAAATGCTGAGAACCTGCCGTAATTGTACAACGTATCCAGCAGAGGGCGCATGCAGACGACTTTCAATTCATTGCCAGTAATTTTAAGTTGCACTTTCAGCACAGACGAAGCGGCGAGCAATACTGGGTAGCAAGTTTATTTTAACTGATCTGTAAAATAAATTTAAAAATTGACAATAACACATTTCCTTCAATCCTCCAACCTGCTTGTCATTAGCGACCTGACTCTCAAGTTAGCAAGCTAACCTTTAGATAACCTAGCATAGGCTAATGCCTTGTAAAACTCTATCCAGAACAATAAATCTAACGTAGCGGTAATCCAGCTGTTTAAACAATGAACAGGGCGTTTCTTTGTTTACTTTATATTTATGCAACACACTTGGTAACTTTATGTTGAATAGCGGAGGATAGAAAATGTGAACACGTGTTAGGAAGACTGTTTTTAAGACCAATGCACCACTATCGGTCGAGCTCTAGAGCAAACACACAACCAAAGAATTTATTGTAGAGATGAAAGAACGTAAAATCCCCTTTAGTTACTAAACCTCGAGGCTCACGTGATGATTGGTTTAAAAAAAAAAAGAAGCAATTTTTAATTGTTAGGTTTCTTTGGAAATGACTGACATCTACTTTCTTTACATTAAAACACTTTTAAAAGCCATGTTTTATTTGCATTTACATAATTTTCATTCAGTCACAAACGTATTTTCAACCTTTGTCCAATTGCATTTTGTTTGATTCTTTCTTTACACGTGTTCAGAGTTTTGTTTTCAGTTTGTGTCCAACTGAAGTGAAAGGACGGATTTCTTTTAACACACTAAACTTTAAACTCAATAACTAATAAAACAAAATGCAAGCATCGAAGAAGCACAAGCCACTCGGGTCAAAGACAAAATGAGTCCCAACTCGTTTCTGCAAATACAGTGGAGCAAAAAGTATTTAGTCAGCCACTGATTGTGCAAGTTCTCCTACTTCGAAAGATGAGAGAGGTCTGCAGTTTTTATCATAGGTCCACTTCAACTATGAGACAGAATGAGGAAAAATAATGCAGGAAATGACACTGTAGGGTTTTTAAAGAATTTGTTTGTAAATTATGGTGGAAAATAAGCATTTGGTCCGTAACAAACGAGCAAGATTTCTGTCTCTCACAGATCTGTAACTTCTTAAGAAGCTCTTCTGTCCTCCACTCGTTACCTGTATTAATGTTTGACCTCTGTCATTACCAACAAAGGTCGTGTTACAAAGTACTGAGTTGAACCTTTGTTATTGACCAGATACTTACTTTCCACCATAATTAAAAAAATAATAATTAAAATTAAAAACCCTACAGTGTCATTTCCTGCATTATTTTTCCTCATTCTGTCTCATAGTTGAAGTGGACCTATGATGAAAACTACAGACCTCTCTCATCTTTCGAAGTAGGAGAACTTGCACGATCAGTGGCTGACTAAATACTTTTTGCTCCACTGTAAGAGGGCAGATTGATTTATTTTTAAACCAACATCAAATTAAAGATGTCTGCCAGGAGCCTCTGGACTCCAGAACTCATCTGATGACACGTGGTTAAAAACTGCTCTGTTGCTCAGCGTGTGAATACAGCGATTCTCTCCAGACAGAAATGAAGTGAAACCTGAGAGGACTTATTCAGGCTACATTATATTTAGACTGACAGCTGGACACTTGCATCAAAAACAGCTGGATGTCTAATAACTCAATAAATACTGTATATTCCTCACTTTACGTCACTCTGAAGTATAAGTCTCATCAGTCAAAAAATGCCTCATGAAGAGGAAAAAAACATGTATAAGTCGCTCCTGAGTATAAGTCACATTTATTATGAGTCACTGCTGACCCCTGGGAAACGTGGGCCGGTGTCGTGCCAAAAATTGATTGGCGGCCGCAGCAGCGCACACAGGAGTACTCACTGTTGCAGTTCTTTGATATTTAACAAGATTAACACCTAAAAACAATTATTTGCTCAACATTATAGGAAAGGTGTGTCTTAGATTAACTTTTCCTTAATAAATGCACTTTAATGGTCAAAACAGCTGCATTTCGCCTGAGCAGCACGGGGGTCTGAGAACAGTCTGTCCCGGTTGGCAGCCGTGCCGGGGGCCCCGGCTGGAGTGAGGAGGAAGGGCACAGCAAGGCACTTGATCCGCAGCCTCGGGAAGCTGCGAGGTGAAGGCAGGGAGACGCTGTAGAGCTCGCGGCTCTGGCCTCGAGCTCTACAGCGTCCCTTTGCAGCCGGAGCGGTTCATGTTCGGTTCATGTCTGTATGAATGAAAACTTTAACTCGTCAGTCAAAAATTGGGTCATGAACAGGGAAAAAACGTATACAAGTCGCTTCGGACTATTCGTCACAGGACTGACCAAACTATGATAAAAACAGCGACTTGTAGTCCAGAAAATACAGTAAATGACAACGCGTTGCATAAGAAGTGACTTGAATCATGTCAGTCCGACTGTTTGAGGCTGTTTGCCAGCAGCCCTGAGCAGTTTAAATAAACACGACTGAACCGAGCTGCGTGATCTGAACTGATGACAGGGTGTGTGTGTGTGTGTTACCTCATTGACAACAGATTGCAGGGAGCCCTCGGCAGGCTTCTGTTCACTCCCCAGGACCTGAAACCAGAGAAAACCCTCAGCTGGGTCTAAATGTCATTTTATTTACTTTATTTTGACAAAGTAAAGAGAAATGAAAAGAGGAGAGACGAGTGAGGCCCTGTAACAAAGCCGTGTGGGATTAATGTGAGTTTTGGTCAACACTTCTCTTTAAGAGGAGGAAATTAAAACCATTTTCACAGAAGTCAAATCAAACTGCTTGTTTCTGTGGTTTGTCTGAGCCGTCCCCATCTGAAGGGCGCGTACAAAAAGCCGGTCTGAAGTACGAACCATGCTTCTAATCTCGTTTAGGTGTTTTTGAACTTTGCACTCGTCACCCGATTCATATCTTCTGCTGAGCTGCAGCCACTGCTACAGACTCCAGCATTTGATTTTACAGTTTTGCCCTTGCTTTATCTCGCCTGTGTTTGATGGATTTTGGTCCGACAGTTATTGCTCAATCCAGAATGTAACAGGACAAACTCTGGAAGCTTTTCTCTGCTTCAGTTGGTCTTAATGGATAAAACCAAAAGGAAACAACATCAAATATTACAAATTAATAATTCAGCCACAAACACTCAACAGACTCAGGTTTTGTTGGATTTCTTTGTTTATTTTTCTACCTAATATCTTTAAATATTAAGAAGTATACAGCTTTATAAATCGGCTACACAGGCATAAAACACACCTTTTGTGTTTATTTGGCAGTAGTTAGGAACAAATTTGTTTATTTTATCACAAAGAGTTATTTTGGTGACTAATCTTTAGAAGACCACTGCCCCTCAATAGTAACATGTCATTTATAAATCCTGTAAATGTTCTGAGGGAGATAATATTATGTCCATAGTGACAATGAATAAATACCAAGTTGTGGTTTGATTACAAAGAGGAAACAGCTTCCACTTCCATGAATATTTATTGTAAGTAAAAGTGTTTGTTTTAGTCAATAAAAGCAGAAAATTGTTGGGTGGATGCAGTTTGTTTTTCAGCTATTATTCATTTCTGAAATATTTTTCACAAACTACAAAAACATAAAGACATCAATCGTCTGCTTTTCAAAGAAACCAGCAGGACAGAAAAACACCAGTCCACAGCAACATAATGAGCACTTTCCTATAAGTTTACATTTGATGGATAAACATCTGAGAGGGTTTTAGGTGACTGGTGCCAGTAAGTCAACTGGTTTGGGCTCTGTAGATTGCACGAATCTGACAAATGGGACTTAAAAATGGCAAAGCCACATGTATCCAGGCTGGAAAACCTGACCGGATGCAGGTTCTCCCAGCAGAACACAGCTCTGAGAACTTTATCTGCAAGTGGTCATAATGCTGTTGTTTAAAGCAGAAAATCCTCTTACCCGAAGTGCGTCCTGTTCCTGGCATTTCTGCAAGAGAGAGATGGCAACATCCTCAAAATGTTGACGCAAACAAAGACTTGAGTTAAATTCACAGCCTGTCAGATAATAAAGCTGGTGTATCTCGTTATCCTTACTTACATATCCAACTTATTTGAACTTGGAACATTACATGACTACACATACATGAAAATCAAGATAAAGTTATTGTGCACCTACATTACTCAGACCTACCTGTGCAACTTTGCTGTGCACAAATGTTCCAATAGCTCCAGCGTAGAGCCGTGGAACAAGTCCACTGAAGAGACCCGCTTTCCCATCAATTTTAACTATGTGTTTTGCTGAAGCATAAAGAAAAGAAACATCGGATGAAGTAAACTAGCATAAACAACCAAAGAAGTCTCGGTAACAGCCACATTTTGAATATATTTCATAATAAGCTTGTCCATGTCTGACTGGATTATCACATACAGGATCACTTACCATAAGCAAACAATCCAGGCAGCTGCTGCACTGGTTTGCCAAAGATGTTCCTGCCCAGGGTGGGGGGCAGCGGCTCATGTCCCACCTGATAAAAACAGGAGAAATGGCTAAATGACATGTATTGCATGACTGTGCCCCATCAAGGAGGCCAGCGCTTTGTATTATTCTTTAGTCATCCTAGAGACACACAGATTTCTTATTACTTTATCAAAACAAAAGTCAAACATTAGCACCCAAAACCATTTCTACGCTCAGCAACACCATTAAAACCATAAGCTGTTGAACCATCAACTAAACAAAATGACGTGAACATAAAAACTGTTTCAGCAGCTTCTGCACACACACAACCAGCATGTCTGCTGAAAGTAGAGGTCTCACAGACTCCATAAATATAAAAGTTTCACCAAGACTGACCAGGATTCACTCAACCAACAGCAAAACAAACAAAAAGACCAGAATTAAACCATATTTACTGAGCAATTACATCACAATGTTCTGTTCAAGCATGGGGAATAAAGAAATGTGTTGGTAATTTAAAAAATACAACAAAAAGAAACATTTAGTAATGCGAATATAAAATATTTTTTGCAAGTAAAAACCTGAATAAACTCAACTTTCATAGATGGAACTGTACCAAAAGGTAAAACACCTTGCTATTTCTTTACTAAAGCCTCTGAAACGGACCTAGTTTACTTCAGCAGCATGAATCTTTTCACAGACAGGTCATGTCCACACATAGATTCATGGTCTCCTAGAATTTTTGGTCTTTCATCACATTTACAAAAATATTATATAAAGGCAGAAAAACGTAACAAGGCAAGGGAGAAAACCTTTTCTTTTCCTATGTTTTATCCTCATTTTCTATGAAACATTAGCATCTACCTGCTGTGATGTCAACACTTGAGATGAACCATCACATACAGGTGCTGGTCATAAAATCAGAATATCATGAAAAAGTTTATTTATTTCAGTAATTCCATTCAAATGTGAAACTTGTATATTATATTCATTCATTACACACAGACTGATATATTTCTAATGTTTATTTCTTTTAATGGTGATGATTATAACTGACAACTAATGAAAACCCCAAATTCAGTATCTCAGAAAATTAGAAAATTACTTAAGACCAACAAAAAAAAAAAAAAAAAAAAAAAGATTTTTAGAAATGTTGACCAACTGAAAACTATGAACATGAAAGGTATGAGCATGTACAGCACACAATACTTAGTTTGGGCTACTTTTGCCTGGATTACTGCAGCAATGCAGCGTGGCATGGAGTCGATCAGTCTGTGACACTGCTCAGGTGTTATGAGAGTCCAGGTTGCTCTGATAGTGGCCTTCAGCTCTTCTGAATTGTTGAGTCTGATGAATCACATCTTCCTCTTCACAATACCCCATAGGTTTTCTATGGGTTAAGGTCAGACGAGTTTAATGGCCAATTAAGAACAGGGATACCATGGTCCTTAAACCAGGTACTGGTAGCTTTGGCACTGTGTGCAGGTGCCAAGATAATGAAGCTCCACACCGGTTTGTCGTCATTATCTGCATCGTTTTTATGTCTATATTTCTGATTTACCTCATTTTGTATTTTGCTTTGTGTGTTACCTGTTGTTCTGTCTGTACAGCACTTTGGTTGGCCTTGTCGCTGTTTTAAGTGCTCTATAAATAAAATGGTATGGTAAGTCCTGTTGGAAAATAAAATCTGCATCTCCATAAAGTTGGTCAGCAGCAGGAAACATGAAGTGCTCTAAAACTTCCTGGTATACGGCTGCGTTGACCTTGGACCTCAGAAAACACAGTGGACCAACACCAGCAGATGACATGGCACCCCAAACCATCACTGACTGTGGAAACTTGACACTGGACCTCAAGCAACATGGATTCTGTGCCTCTCCTCTCTTCCTCCAGACTCTGGGACCTTGATTTCCAAAGGAAATGCAAAAATTATTTTCATCAGAGAACATAACTTTGGACCACTCAGCAGCAGTCCAGTCTTTTTTTTTGTCTTTAGCTCAAGTTAGACACTTCTGATGCTGTCTCTTGTTCAAGAGTGGCTTGACAAGGAATGTGACAGCTGAAACCCATGTCTTGCATACGTCTGTGCATGGTGGTTCTTGAAGCACTGACTGCAGCTACAGTCCACTCTTTGTGAATCTCCCCCACATTTTGGAATGGGTTTTGTTTCACAATCCTAACCAGGGTGCAGTTATCCCTATTTCTTGTACACTTTTTTCCTACCAGTTGTTTCCTTCCCTTCTCCTCTCTATTAAAGTGCTTGGACACAGAGCTCTGTGAACAGCCAGCCTCTTTAACAATGACAGCAATGTCTTGCCCTCCTTGTGCAAGGTGTCAATGGTCGTCTTTTGGACAACTGTCAAATCAGCAGTCTTCCCCATGATTGTGTAGCCTACAGAACTAGACTGAGACCATTTCAAGGCCTTTGCAGGTGTTTTGAGTTAATTAGCTGATTAGACTGTGGCACCAGGTGTCTTCAGTATTGAACCGTTTCACAATACTCTCATTTTCTGAGATACTGAATTTAGGGTTTTCATTAGTTGTCAGTTTTAATCATCAACATTAAAAGAAACAGACATTTGACATTTAGCAGTCTGTGTGTAATGAATGATGATACAAGTTTCACTTTTTCAATGGAATTACTGAAATAAATAAAACTTTTCCATGATATTTTAGTTTTATGACCAATGCCTGTATGTTAGCTTTATTTAGATATAGTTTCTTTTTTTTAATTTATTCATTCATTTAAAAGAAACAAAACAAATTATTAAAAAAGAAAAAACACTGAACGGGTGCAGAAAGAAGAAAATTCTTATCTGCCCCTTATTTAATAAAATATATAAAATAACTACAAACAATAACTTAGGATTGAACAATCTCCAAACTGAAAACAAAAGAGATTAGGCATCCTTCACATGGCACTATACTTTCTCAACTAATTTAACTTGGGTCGTATTCACACCTGATAGTCGGGTAGACTCGGTTCGATTGGGGACCAAAATTAGGAACATTTGTGACATTTCCAGCTGGTGCGGTTCACATTAACACTGCACTGAGTCAATCGAGACAAGTTCTTTGATGAGCTTCATATATGACTTGTAAAATACTATATTCAACCAAATCATAAACTTTAATCATTTCAACTGACATAATATATTTGCTGGGTGACCATAGCAATTCCTACTAATAATTCTTATAGCTCTTTTTTGTCAAATGAAAAGAGGATTTGTTATTGTTTTGCATGATTTTCTCCAATTAATACTATATGTTGTATATATAGTATAGCATATAATACTATATGTATACTATATGTTGTATAATGTAACGGATTATTCAAACATACTTTGTAATCGCAGAGGAACAACTTTAATTGGGCATGTTGTTTTTAAGCAGGGACTCGTGGGGTTTATCAGGTTAACTTTAGCCTCTTATTTAGCAACTGCTAATGCTAGCTGTCAGTTTCTGTCACTAGTTAATGAAGGAATTAGTGTGCAGCCACTGAGGTTAAACATTCAGGACAAATTGCACTTAGCACAGTTAGCTTGTCCGCACAGTTTTCAAAGGGCGTCGGTCTAAAAACAACACTTTAGAAGCGGGCTAAAGGCCCTAGGTTTGTTAGACAAATCGTTCTTGCATCTAAACACGCTTTCTCCGATTCTGCTTGAAGGACAGCAGCAGAGTATAAACATTAGTATGAACGCCGCTTCCTTGTGTTTAGGAAGCAGAAGGTCACCGGGACGTGGAGAGAGCAGAGTGGAGCTGTCACACCGTCACCCGGGCTCCTGTCACTGTGCGAGGTTAGTTTAAAGCGATAGAAACAAACGTGAAGGTGTCCTACGGCCTAAGAAAACTGTACTAATATGCTAACGAACGATAAGCAGCGTTGTTTTCAATGGGTTTCCTCTCCGGGCCATTGGCTGAAGAGTCGAGTTCACAAGCAGATGCCATGAAAGCCGAACCTGAACTATTTGGGTCAAAGTTCCGCCTGATTCTTCTTACCTGAATGAGGACTTTAATGTACATCAAAGGGTGGGAGACGACGGTGAGGCCGGATCCCAACAAGATTTGGCCGCACGTGTCCGCCATTTTTAGACCAACAGGGAAGACAGGAAAACCTTTCTTCTTCGCGCGCTGGCAGCTCACGGTGGCTTTTTACTTTACTCATGTGAAACACTACCGCCACCTAGCGTTCACAAATAGAAGGGCTCCTTGACCACTTACCTGCACGTTAACAGAGGTTTTCACATAAACACAATTAAACATAATGAGTCATTGGAAAATTAAAGAGTAAATTTTCCCAGCATACATACATCTCCTCCTACATGTCTCTGTGTGAGTGCAGTTGCAGCGTGCGCTCTCAGGACATTATTACCTGCAGTGTTCCCTCAGTGAGGGCTGAACTAGGCAAAAGGGCCTTCTCCTACTCCGCTCCTGTTTCCTGGAATATCTTGCAAAAAGATTTGAAGCTCTCGACCTTGACCTCTCTAAGTGGCTTTAAGAATCTGTTGGACTCCTGGCGAGGACCAATGCAGACATGTTTCTGTTTGTAGTTTTCTATATTCGCCTTAGAATCTAGCTGTTTTTTGTTACTTTGCTTTTTTTTAGCCATCCTATTTGTTAAACAAAAAAAATCTATGCCTTTTTATAACTGTCTGTTGTTGTCGCTGTTGTCCATTGTTGTCATCATTCTTTGTTGAAATCAGGTCTTTCTTGTAAATGAGTCCTCGGGGCTCAATGGGATTAACCTGTCTAAATAAAGGTTGAAGGAAAGAAAAAAAAAGAATATATATATATATATATATATATATATATATATATATATATATAT